TATATATATATATATGTATACACTTTCCAGAGCCAGGTAACACTGCTTTACAGTAGTTGCAAGTCTCTGTCTGTCACTACTTCCTACCAAACACTAAATTCTTAAAGAAAAGAAGGCTTCACTGTCTTTGCATCCTATGTTAAAGTGAATGGTTCCAATTAAACAAGATTTGTTTCCAGTGGCCTTAGGTTAATGCAGAATTTGATATAGTTAGGATCTACAATCCCCCACCAAGAAGAGGAGGTGAACTGTAGGACCTTGCAGCCCTTGGGTTTTGTGCTGTTTTCAGCCCGTCCGCTGGGAATGCTAGCAGTAGTTTCTGCAGCTCTTTTGAAGTGTAGTTCCCGCATGGTAGAGATTCTTTGCCCTTTTTTATTCACCTTTTGTAAGATTCTGACATGATCCAAGCAGGCATTTGTTGCTAAAGTGATTCTACTGTAACTGTAAAATGTGAAGAGTTTGCATTTTTTGCACTTCCTTTTTCAGTCTCGTGAGAGCACTGTCTAGCTCTTCTATGCAGAACACTGAACTACTGAGCAAACTTCCAATTGTCCTCGTTGTCTTCTTTAAATCCAAGAGTGGAAAATTAGCCTGTCCCTCTAAGGAATTAGAATTGTAAGTAGAATGTTATGCTATGATCTGTAGTTTATAACCCATTTGAACAACTTTACATTGTAAGTGAGAAATGGATGCCCATTTTGATAGAGGATGTTAGGCTGTAAAATTAATATGAAATTTATTAGGAAATTATGAGTCATTTTTAGAATAGTAGTTCTGATACTTATGCAGGAAGTTTCCTGTATTTTTGGTAGGGATTTCGGATGACATTGTGCAACTTAATGTTGAAAAGACAAGGCCTGCCATCCTTAGGCAAAGCCAAAAGCTCTGACTGAAGTTTTGCTCTAAGCATGGACTTGCAAGTTTGAGTCAAACTTAATTAAATCTAGGCTGAAAGTTAGCAACGAATTGTAATAGAATGATTACTTGTATTAGAATATGATACATGTGCAGTAATGGTTAGGATGGTTAATATTGCTATATTCATACCAGTGAATATATACAGGAGTTTTAATGCATTATTATGAGAAGGCTAATTATGTATTGCAGAGAATTAATCGCTGAGATAAGCTGCATATTTATCATACGAAATGGCTTAAGCGGATGAATAGTATAAAAGTTGTTGGGCATAACGTCACAATACACACCTGCTCGAAATAGTCTTAAACTATATTGTAAAACCAACCATTGTGGTCTTGTTCACCCCTGTGCAAGATAAATTCAGATTTCACAGATGTTTGGAGCTGTTCACAACTTCTCTGGATTGTATCTTGAGTGTTCTTGTGTCCTCAACCATGTCAAATAAAATACAGTAAAAGTAATTTTTCTTTTTGGGTGTTTCTACTTTGATGAAAATGGCTGTGAAGGGTCAAGTGGTTATACTTGCAGTTGGATACACCTTCATAGGCATGAGTGTTGGATATCAGATTTCTTCTTCCTTCTGAATGTGTGGACACCTGGAGTCCGTGTTGACCTGAGGTCACTTTCTACTGCTGGGGATTACCGAAATCCTACTGCAGTTTGTGTAGCTCTGAATAGGATGACTGTTGGTGTTAAGATAGAAAGACTTTGGACAGTATCAGAAACAGTTTAGGTCTTTCCTGTAATGATGCTCTGAATCAGAATGAAAGCTGGGAAATCAATGTGCTTGAGGCTGAATTCGTGATTCGTGGCATTTCTTTCGTGACATTCTCAACAAAACTCACAAAGGTCATTGATGATAAATAGAAAAAGTAATAGTGTAGAAAATGTAAAAGAACCAGTCTGTGTGTGTGGAGGTTCCCTTCTTACAGCCCGTGGAAACAACCAGGCAGGATGTTGAGGATGAAAATCTGGATGGTATTCAGATCCAGGGAAAATGCAACATTTCTAGAAGCAAAACTGAATGGTTTATGTTTTTATTACAGGAAAGACTTAATGTGTTTTCACAGAGTACTGCTTTTGGAAGGATAGGAGATTCCTCTGAAATGGTAAGTCACTAGTATTAGAGGATATCAGCACATGGGTTTCTTTCACAAACTTCTAGGTTGTTACCAACACTGGTGTATAACTGCAGCTCCCAGGTATTTGCACCCGGACCTGAGGAGGCAGATGCATCCAACATTCCTCTGGGAAGGCCACTGCTGAGGAGGAGATGTCCATGGTGCTCCAGCTCAGCCGTGGCCCTCAGCCATAGCCATACCTGAGCCCACACTGTTGACTGCAGGTACTGGCCTGATGTTCTCAGCCCCCTGCAGGAAGCCATCTGCTCTTTTGGCTGTGAGAGTTCAGTTCCCTCTTGTCACTTTCATGTTAAAGATGGTTTTGAAATAGTGACTTAACATCTTCCTACAAAGTAAATCCGTTTCAACTCTCTGTCTTCTTTATTCCACTTGTTACCTGAAGGCCTCACAAGTGTCACCTGGGTGTGGTTGTGGTTTTAGTTCCCATTGTCCTCCAATGTCATATTTAGCTATTTCTCTCTTTTCAACCAGTAGAAGCACCTGACTGCAAGCTATTTTTGTTTCTCTGTATAGACTACTGTTCTCTTTCTTTTGTGATTTAGTTTTTCCTTTCAAATGCAACATCTCAGCTGAAAGGATTTTTGTGCCACATTGAAGCATATTATTGTTCTGGTTCCAGGACGTTTATAGTCTGGAATATGTTCAAGGTAGATGTTTGCCAGACACCCAGCATTTCGTTAAGAAAACTGATTCAGGTACAGTGGGTATCATTTAAGTTTTCATGTAAACATTGATTTCTGCAGGAGTGTTTGCTTGGAGTGAATAATAAAAATACTACAAGGTTAGAGACCACTAAATACATAATGATAAATTTTACTCTGTTACTGTGTTAATTAAAGCAATTACAATTCATGAGTGACTTACACTAATAAAATCAGCTGCTATTCATGTCAGTAGCATGGGTACAAACCCTATTAGAGAAAACCATTTCCCTCAAAGTGTCCTAAAAATTGCCATATCAGAAAGTACTGTAGTCTCATAGCCTTCTGGAGGGCTGGTTTATTGCTAATATTGTAGTATCAGCCAATAAATTGGCCAATAACCAGGTATATATTTATATACCTGGTTATTTTATATATATATATATATATATATATATTTAGTGTGATTTTTTTTGTGTGGTTTTCTAGGTATAGGAATGTTTAGTGATGTGCTGTTGCACTGAAAAACTTGCATAATGGTTTGTATGATACATTTTTTTCCTAAGTGTTGTAGGCTGTGTCCCTAAAATGCAGGAGGGCTGGCATTAGCTATGGAGATGTGTCAGTGACATGTATGTCATTATGCCACAATGCTACTCAAAGATGAAAAGATGCAGAGAATGAGCTGAGATGTGTAGCAGTGCTACACCCCAACTTCCACCTATTTGCTGCAATGAAGATGTTTTACAAGTGCTTTATGACTATAATTATAAACACCATCCTAATAGGCTAGGTACTGTATTTAACTTGTAATGAACTTGATTTCAGCTAAACATTCAATTAATGTTACTAGTACAATGGGAAATATAATTACAGTCTTCAGGAACACATTAAGAACGAAATTTTGCTTTCAGTGTTCTAGCACATTGCTCTGATTCCCAGGGGAGTTTCCTTTATGTGCATTCATTGGCAGAATTTGGACCTTTCACTGGACTTTTCTAAATCTGCACATTTTTTTATAGGGAGTGCTTATATTTAAAATTACAGACACATCTTGATAGGAAGGAATTTGTGTAAATCTTATGTTGATTCTACCAGGATTGCAGAAATCCTTACTAAAATGTGTGGATGATGTTTTCATGCTTGGTTTTAATAACCACAGAATAAAGCAACTTACAAAACAATCTGACAACAGTGTCCCATTTCCACAAACTTCACTCAAACATCCCTCTCCAGCAGATCCAATCTGAAGTCCCTTTTTCAGTTCAAGAGATGCCTGGTTTTCAACAGATGTAGTTTGGATAAATTGATAACAACTGCAGATGCTTTGTGCAACTAATATTCATTCCTGTTATTTTCTGATCTCATTTCATGCTGATGTTGGAGAGCTTGTAGTTACTTTTTTTAGGTGCAAATTCTGTTTTATTAATTCTCATTCATCCCTTCCTCACCTCTAACAAGGAGAGACATTTTTGCGGTTTGACTGCTGCAGAAAGACAACAAGGTGTTGGCCAGGCAAAATCTGGCATAACTGTTTGCTTTTATTCCTTTAAGTTAGAGACCTGAAAATGAATGTTCAAGCAAAAGAAGAATTTACGTCTTTACAGCGCCATTGATCTGTCTATGTGCAAGCTGCAGTTTCTTGCAGCAAAATAATGTTGTCTTTGGCTATCCCAAAAATTAAGCACAGCAAGTACCAGGAGTGCTGAGAAGCCTCTTGGGAAGTGAAAATGTTCATGATCCACTCACGATGTGATGAGTTCATGACAATTCTGCTACCTTGCCCATAACTTAGCATGTGGACCTGGTTTTAACGTGCATGTAGCTTCTTGCCTTCATTAGATATATGCTCAGAAGTCTGGCACAGCATCTGCTACACTGTCTGACAGAGGCAAACAGGCAATGCAGGAAATGTATTCCTTTTATCTTGGACAAGCTGTATACAGCTCTGTAAGCTCAATGAGGACTGGTAGTTTTGTTATGTGTAGGGCAGCTTAAGAAAATGAGTCTGTGAGATTTTTCTTGTAGTGTTCCACAGGTCTGAATTTGATGTTCTTGGGAGACAAAAAGGAACCTTTATGTTG